CAATTTCTCACAAACCCCAAAATGAAGAAACAACATAACAACAGGTCAATAACGAGATATTACCTCTAAGTGATGCCCCAACTGCAATGAAATTCGAATCCAAGCAAATCCCCTTGCTCCAAGCCTTCAATCTTCCCAAAATTCCTTCAACCATTACTTCTCCAAGCTCCAATCCACTCAACAATGGTGCTTCTCCGTGATTTAGGGTTTTCTGGGCTCAAGGGGTGATAAAGAGGCTGGGAGGAAAACATAGTGATCTTTATATAAGGCTCAACCCCGAGAATTAGGGTTTTCTCCACTCAGCGCCTACTAGCCGAGTCCATTACACTGACTCGCCGAGTCGGCCACTTAACACGCGACCAGGTCGCGACTCTACTCGCCGAGTCCGCACATGGACTCGCCGAGTCACTCTTTCCCAATTTACTCTTTTAGCCCTTCAACTCTACTCTTGATATTTCGGGATGTTACAATTCTCCCCCACTTAAATTAGGCTTCGCCCTCGAAGCCTACAACAACTCAACTCCAGAAATACTCCCACAACGTGCCACCTGGCCTTAATCGGACCCGCTCTTACAAGGCATACCCATCGAAACTCGAACACACTTTCCCTTTCCTTACGGTGTCCTGACCACTGTCTCGAACCGGGCACCGGATGTACCCTCAGATAACCACACTCAACGATCCGAGAATTACCCATGAAGCATCACTGATCCAAATCTCAACAATCACTTGACCCATAAAGGTTAGAAGCCATGAACCATCGGATCCCCGATCCAAATCCCATCCTATCCAATCCGTGACGACAGAAAGGCCCACTCTTCAATCCCAGAGCAAATCTCATGAGTCCTCTTCTTGCACTCAAGCACCCAAGCCGCACCAACCTTCGCACTCTCGGGTTAGGAGAACCCGTCGCACTGATGACATCTCTAACGTCCCCAGGAGACACCACCACTACGCACACGACCCTTGATCAGAATCAAGCTGGGAGTCCCAGACTTCATCCCTACATCCATCCTGAGACTCTTGGCTCTACACCCGCGGAATCCCTTCCGCATCCTCAGCAGACATCCCATCATGATGTCATTCCATACCACTGTCACAGACACAATGTTCGACCATCAGACTCCAAATCATCCATTCTCACTACAACTTCCACTTCCGCGAATCGGCACTTTCCTCAGCAAATGAGGGTCCGACACTTCCTCCCACACAACAGCACAAAGGGTGGCATACCAATGCACTAATGATGGCTATTGAAATAGGATAACTCAACCAAGGATAAATACGTGCCGCAACACCCTCCGAAATCTAATACACATGCCCGAAGCATGTCTTTGAGCGTCTGAATCGTTCACTCCCTCTGAGGTGTCCTCCGACATCATCAGGATAAGCTCTAGCTCATCACATATCCCTCTTCGAGACTGGGCACCAGGTCAGCTTTTGACTCCACAGCTGAGCCTCCAAAGGTCACCCAAATCATGATCCAAATATCCCACTAACTTCCTCCCCGTGACCACTATCCCGGCCTCGTGACACGCAAGTCACGAAATTCTCTTTTCCTTATGCAAGAAAGTACAATCCAACCGAGGATCGTCTCCACTCTGATCTCTGGTTTCTGCTGCGCATATCCCTTGCCATCTCACCACATTCCCCGACAGAGACGGGGACCCCAGTCTCACCCCGGTCCAACATCCAGGCTCCAAAAACTCAATACTAGGGCTACTCAAGCCCAAAACTCTTCCACATCATACACTGATCGGAGAACATTCCATCATCACACTCTCTTGCCATCTAGTGAGCACTACGGCTCCCCGCGGTATCACAACACCCTCTGACTAGTGAGTACTACGGCTCCCCGCAGTATCACAACACCCTCTGACTAGTGAGTACTACGGCTCCCCGCAGTATCACAACACCCTCTGACTAGTGAGTACTACGGCTCCCCGCAGTATCACAACACCCTCTGACTAGTGAGTACTACGGCTCCCCGCAGTATCACAACAACCTCTGACTCCACTAGCTCGTGCTCCACAGACTATCATAGGCGGCTACCCATACTCGTCTCGAATATTCATCACAGACTCTGGAGGCAATCGTCATAACAGATGCCCACCCTTGCGAAGATCCACTCTCCAAGTAATCTCCCTGGATGCCCATACTCGAAGGGCTATCACTAGTTCCATAGATACCTGATATACCACAAGTCGTCTCAACTCAAGATTCACGAATAACTTCGAAATAAAGATATCAATACCCGGATACCTCGGAACACCCCCACCGAACATCACAAGATCCTGCCACAACCACAGATCTCCTGCCCCAAGCACCATATAGATGCAATAATACATTCCCTCTGAACCCCATAACTAGATCTTCATTTTTCCCAAGTTGCAACTTCGGTGTATTCAATTTCTCAATTGCAATACGAAGAAACGCTAACGCTACGAAATACGCTGATAATTCTCCGAAACCCTTTTTCCCGCCGCTCAAAATCCAAACAAGGATACGCATACCGACCCGGGAGTTGGCTGCCCAATCATTCTTTATCTACTTGCCCCAACACCGACCAATACCAGATTCCTGACTAATAAACACCTGTCGTGGAGACATTCATCCTTTTCAAACAAGTACTTCCCGTATTAACTCACTCTGACCCCTTTCCTCGATCACCGACATCTCTGGTCTCATGATTTCTTACCGCATATCTATATACTCCACTTATACCTGCTCTTGACAAATCTCTGCTTTCTTACATACGGCACCCGGTTCTCCCCCACTTAGGGTTCGACCATTACCAAATAGCACGCAACTAACCCATAACTATATTCTCCAGCAAAATCGCACCTGCCCCCGGAAAGTGCTACACAACGCCCGATAATCCCCCCTTAAGGAAATGAATCGACCTCATATACTCTGAACCTCTGGTGAACTCCTCAAGAACTTCTCGTCACGTCTGCCTCTAGCCGTTCCAAATCTCGTACCAATTTAGTACCAAACAACTCAACTGCTCGATAACATCCCTGGCTCATAGACTGAACCATAAAACCATCATACCCCTCACCTCAACTCATTAACCAACGCTCCAACACCGGGATCATCCCAAGAACAGGAACCCACTCCCAAATTCAACACCCCATGGATAGAAAACTCTCGGCACCGCTGAACTCGACTGAACTCCCCGCTGATACCACTACCGTACACCCGACTAAACTCAATTAGGTATAGCGTGGCCCTCGACTATCTTAGTCCCAACTGACTATCTGCTCATGATAGATCACTGCCTCGCGGCACACATGCTACCTGATACTCTGGTGGGAAATCATCGTCAATGACGACCTGGGGTTTACCCCTAAACCCAAAACTAAAACATCATGCTCCTTATTTTTTTTTCACACGTACATAATCAGTACCCCCCGATCATAGGAGGTGACATCTCCTTTATCGACTGATTGCCCAAATCAGATCGAAATTCTCCCTTCTCACTGACTCCTTACTAAAATACTCTGAGGGGCTCTCGATCTCCCTCTCAAGGGACGCCTCATCGAACTTACTCATAACCGAATAACCAGAGAACCACAAACATCCTTCACTACGACCCATGGTACTCATTCCATGACATCTCTTCTCAATATGCCCCGGTGTATGGTACCCTAACCATAACATCACTCCCCAATCCGCTCCGATGTATGGTACCCGGACCATAACATCACTCCTCAATCCGCTCCGATGTATGGTACTCGAACCATAACATCACTCCTCAATCTGCTCTGATGTATGGTACCCGAACCATAACATCACTCCTCAATCTACTCTGATGTATGGTACTCGAACCATAACATCACTTCCTCAATCTGCTCTGATGTATGGTACCCGAACCATAACATCACTCCTCAATCTGCTCTGATGTATGGTACTCGAACCATAACATCACTTCCTCAATATGCTCTGATGTATGGTACCCGAACCATAACATCACTCCTCAATCCGCTCCTTAGAACCTTCAGAATACTCCCTGTATCAAGTATGGGTCCTCTGCTTTCAGTAGTACGGGCCCATACTACCTGCCACATCTACCCATACTTTCCACACGGACCATCCCAGAGCTTCTAAGTAGCTGCTCGACCTGCCCTTTCACTAATCCCATCGCGCATGCTCGCTCCCCAGCGAAATTCTCTACTCTGCAAGCGCACTCATCTGGCTAGGGTTACTCCCTAGGCTCTTCCATTGTCCTCCCCTTCTTTGCTATCAGCTGCTGAAGAGCTCCTAATGATGCCAGCCATCTACCTCCTGAATATCGTCATATTCACTTGGTAGCTGACTCCCATCATCGAGAGTTCCACAACACAAAGCAAGCAGCATTCGAGCATCGAAGAATACATAGGACTCCCTCTCTGTGATAACTCCACCTTCTCGGCTCATCCTCGAAAGTACCACCAAACTCTGTAACTCTACCCCTCATGGGTTCTAACTGGATACTCTCACTCATCACATACTCAAAAGCATAACACATATAACAACGAGTCCTAGGCTAAGGCATCACAAATCAGGCCACTCTAGTCCTAACATATGAAATACCTAGCCTGTCTCTAGCATGCAATAATATCTCATAAAGTGCATCATAAATATCTCATAACACAAAATAAGGGTATCTTGGGAAATCACCGTTCGGGCTCTGGCTGATTGTACACACTGCTCTTTCTTGCTTCCTCTTTGAACCCTTATTCGTTTTTAGAAAATTATTTCCTTAAAACTTTTCTTACTTCCTCAGTTTAAGTCCAGATTTACCCGAAGGCGCATCCGAATCCCTCAAACCAAGGCTCTGATACCAACTTGTAACACCGTAAATTTCAAGACAAAATTTTCATTTAAAATAATCATTTTACTTTAGAAACACTTGTTTAAAATCTTATTCATAGTCGATTTACAAAACATAACTCCATTTTCACTTGCATAGAAAACCAGGATCCTCCAAAATATGACTCTTTCTCTGGTGTGTACAATCAAGCCGGTGCCGTCCCGTGATACTGAAAGAAACCTGAAAAACATCAAACAAAACACTGTAAGCACGAAGCTTAGTGAGTTCCCCAAAATACCACACATAACACATATTAGCCACTCGAAGCTATAACTCTGTGGGTCCGTGCACCCAAACTCTGTGAACCCTCAGGTTCTAACTCTGGGAACCTTCCGGTTCCAACTCTATAAACATGCACAGCATAAATCACATAGAAATAATGCAGTACAACACATCACGTACATATAGCATACAAATACTCTAATCACATAACTCTGGTTACCTACTCAAGGTAAAGTATAGTGAGAAGACTCACCTGGCAAGCAGGAAGCAGATATCCCCACACTTGAATCTCGAACTCGCCACCGCCTAACACGTAAGGCAAATACTCTCATGAATATAACTCTCGAGACTAGAATAAATCCTCTCATAACACCCTCTTATGGTTAAAAGACTATTTTACCTCTCTCTTGGCCCAAAGGCCACATCGCTGACCAAACCCTAAAAGTCAACGGCCAACCCTTGGTCGAAATCAAAGTCCTCAGTCTAAGTCAACCCCTGACTGACCCTACTCGCCGAGTCAACCCTGTGACTCGTCGAGTTCCCATAATCAGAACTTTTCAATCTGCGACCTAACTCGCCGAGTCACCCCGAGACTCGCCGAGTCCAACAACTCTGAGTCCACTCGCACTCGACTCACCGAGTCATCCCTCGACTCACCGATTCTCGGCTCAACCAGAGAATATTTGGGACTCTTCGACAAGACTCGTCGAGTCCAAGGCTATCTTCAACCTACTCGCCGAGTTGTTCTTCCAACTCGTCGAGTTCCAGGCCATCTTCAAGCAACTCGTCGAGTCGACCCATGTGACTCGACGAGTACCACCGTTCTGAATCCATTCGGAAGCACTCCAGGCCATGCAATTGATCCAAAACATAGATCTAGCCTCCTACAACCCATCCATCACGTAAAGTGGCAAACTTTACGTGAATCCAAAGAGATCTAAGCCGTTTGCACATTGGGGCTAGGGTTTGGGACATGTAAGCTTCACTAAACACTCCAACACAGGGACTTTCATGCTCTCTGATTCTTCTCCCTTCCAGATCTGAGGTAGCAACCTCAGATCTAACCTCTAGACTTCCCATTTCATCCATAGACAATTTCTCACAAACCCCAAAATGAAGAAACAACATAACAACAGGTCAATAACGAGATATTACCTCTAAGTGATGCCCCAACTGCAATGAAATTCGAATCCAAGCAAATCCCCTTGCTCCAAGCCTTCAATCTTCCCAAAATTCCTTCAACCATTACTTCTCCAAGCTCCAATCCACTCAACAATGGTGCTTCTCCGTGATTTAGGGTTTTCTGGGGCTCAAGGGGTGATAAAGAGGCTGGGAGGAAAACATAGTGATCTTTATATAAGGCTCAACCCCGAGAATTAGGGTTTTCTCCACTCAGCGCCTACTCGCCGAGTCCATTACACTGACTCACCGAGTCGGCCACTTAACACGCGACCAGGTCGCGACTCTACTCGCCGAGTCCGCACATGGACTCGCCGAGTCACTCTTTCCCAATTTACTCTTTTAACCCTTCAACTCTACTCTTGATATTTCGGGATGTTACAAGAAAACTAACGGCCGTCAATCCAAGGGATTAACCTTGCTAATATAGTTTCACATAAGGACCAATGTTGTAACAATGTAGATAGTTGGACCAAAAGTGTTGTGAACCCTAAACGTTAGAAACCAAACATGTAATTTACTCTTGTAATTAAGAAAATCATCTTTCTGGTTGTTTAGTTTATGTTATATATTATTGAATTTTATAGCATTTGTGATAAAATCTAAAAGAAAAAAGATTTATTCTTGAGTGTATGTTCTTGAATAAGCCTGGAAATGCTCTTACAATAGTTCAAACAGGGAGTTGGTCACTAGACAAACGCAACAACATTAATAATAGCATACAACTTATTTTATTGAAATTCATGTTCAACCACATTTATCCATACAAAGACACAAAGCCAAAAGATAACATTGTCACAAATCCTAAATCCCCGTACATAATACCACTGACAAACACACATACATACATACATACATACTTTAAATTCGCAAATATCCAAATAAACACAACAGAAGTGGAAAGGATCTTAAGTTCTAAGAACTATAAGAACCCTCACCTGATGATGAGCTACTTTCATGTTGAACTCGCTTCATCTCCTCATATGCCCATTCAAGACCAGGACAGTAATGAAGAGGCGGATTAAATCGGGTATCCTCAATGTTATCAGGTAAGAATGCTCCATTTTCAATTAAAAATCTGATAGCTCTTCTGTTCTTCTCTTTTGCAGCAGTGTGAAGTGGAGTCCCTAATGAATGTGTTCAAGAAAATAACAAGAAAAGATATTAATGTTATTTTTGGACAGGACAAAAAGTTGCAATTTTTTACCCATTGACTTGAGTCTTAAATCACAGACCAATGACAAAAGTGGGACTAAAGTTGTGTTGAGAATAAGAAGATTGATACTTACAGCCACAAGCACCTTTGGTTCGAGCATCAATATTGGCACCACGATCAAGCAATTCATCCATGACCTTTATGTGACCACCCTTGGCAGCTAGATGGAGAGGGGTGAGCCCATGAGATTTTGGGCCAAGTGCAGCAACATTTGCATCCATTCCTTCATCAAGGAGCCTTTTTACCTGCAACAAGAAATCCCAAAACTTGAAATAATCACCTACAGACACATGAGTGTTCATTCAAACTAACAGAATAAGCAACTTAATTGTGCTCTCATACTTTCTTCTTAACAGTCTGTTTTCTATTTTAGCATTTGTTGATGTAACAGACAATACCGGACTTGAAACTAGATATTGGAGACAGTATTAATGGCTGCTATTAGTTTAAACAGAAAAACCATGAAGAAGAAGAAGAAAAAGAAAAACTTTTACAGTTTATATCTGTATTCACCTCCTTAAGGTCTCCTTTTCGAGCACCGACGTGAAGATTTGTCCAGCCTCTGTCGTCCCTATCATCACCCCCAGGGCTATTGGAGCGCAAGCTGTTGGAACGTTTGATGTGCCTCCGAATCCGACTACTATTCGAACGCAATAAATGATCTTGGATCATTGTTCCTTCTTTCAATTATCTTTCGAATATACCAGAATTTGAAGAACTTCGTTGCAGCCAAATAAACTAAATTTAATAGTTTCTTGAAACAGGAAACCCTAGCAGTGTCTAGAAACTGAAAAGACACGAATCTCAGATAATCGTCTTTTTTACATGATTTGAAGTAACTAAACCAGCGAAAAGAGAGAGTTAGCGAGAGAAGTGATTAGCCATGTTGTATGGAGCGAAAGGATTCAACCCAGGGCCAAACAAACGGAGATTTCTAAGCTTAATCACGAGCAATGAAAGCGATGATGATGATCGAGTGAGAGAGGTATTAAACATAACTGTTAAATCGCCCAAAGAAAACCCGATTGATGATGAAACGAGAAGTCGTGTATATTAAGCGAGCACAAACCGTGGATAAGGAAAAATCAAGAGAAACACAGCAGGTTTTCGGAAATGTTTGGTGGTTTCATGGATGAATAAAGTATGAAGTTGGATGAGATGGAATCGAAGATGAACACAAACCCTAGATTTTGCAGAGATTGGATGACTTGCAAGAGAGAGAGAGAGAGAGAGAGAGAGAGAGAGAGAGAGGCGTTTGTTTTGCTTGGAATTTGGAAATATACAGTGGTGTAAAGTGTAAACTGTAAAGGTCTTCAACTTGTACTTGACTACTTGAGGAATATGGGAAGCTATAGTTCATCAGACCGGTTTGAAACCGGTTCTTGGGCCTAACGTTGAAGTCATCTTGAACTTGTTAAGAACCGGTCCAATCTTAACCACCCTGGGCCGGGTTCTCCTCATTTTCTTATTATTATATTTTTTTAAACGTAAACAAACACTTTTAGAAAATTAAATCCTCAGTCTAATAATTGTTTGTTTTATTTGATTATGAAATACCGTATATAAAGAAAACCACTTTGTAAAACAGGTAATTTGTCGATAAATGTAAAAAGGTATCATTTTGTGAATAATCCAAAAAATATTGCATCTCTAGAAATTATTTCAATGTACAAAAGTCGTTTAAATTTCCCAAAACCATGATCACCAAATAACCCTGATTTCATTTTATTTTATTTTTTTATCTGGGGGGTTTGCAAACGATCACGTTCATTGCCTGGCTCCAATTTTTCTACTTTCAGGTAATTTCCTGGCTCCAATTTTTCTACTTTCAGGTAATTTCCTTGGATTCTTCTTAACCTTTATGCAAGGATTTCATTGCTTCATTAGATTCAGTTTCGTGATTTATGTGAAGTGAACAATAAATTTACAATAACAAATGATAGAATTGTCAATGTGTATCCAATTCCAATGAATGTATCAATAGTTAACGACAATTCATGTATCTAATTGAGGGAATTTGAATTGCTTTCGGAATGAAACTATCTAATTATTGCGTTTTCTGTTTTCTTTTGAGAACTTTGTTTATGAGGTTGGTTGTTAATCAATAGTTCTTATATGAACAAAGTTGATACATTAATTTGGCCTTTAATGGAATCTTCAGCGTTTTATTCTTTTGTTTTGCAACAGTTCCACTGTTTCTATTCTGATTGCAACTCTTGGGGATGACAATTGGATGCGTTAAGGTGATCCTTAATCCTTATATTCTTCTAAGCAAATGTGTTTGATGATCGATTCTCCAGAAATGTAATTTATCAAACACCTTGTAGCCAAAAGTTTGGTTCAATGGGTTGGGGAAGCATCTACATCAGACGCATGAAAGTTTTCTCATTGGCACTTCTAATCTACTTAGACTATAAGGTACACTAACTATATCGTTTCTTCTTCACATAGATGTATATACATCAATGGTAAACCTTTTTCACTGGAATTATATATGTATTGAAGGCATTAAAGCACAGGGAGAAATGGATAAACAGCTCTGAAAGAGCAGGTTTATGGGAGAAAGCTCATGAGCGAAATGCTAAACGTATTGTTAACTTGATTATAGAGCTGGAAGGTTTGTGGGTAAAAATGGGGCAATATTTCTCCGTGCGTGCGGACGGGCTTCCTGGTGCATACCCACGCCATCTGAAGCAGTTACAGGACTCACTTCCTTCTCGCTGCTTAAAAGAGGTATGCCCAAAGTATATTTATCGAACACACATTAAATATTGTCTCTTTACATGTTAAATACCTCAGTCTTTTTGTGTGTGATTTATTCTCATTTATTCAAGGCACTTCTTTCATTATCAAAATAATTACATTATGTAAAAACCTCATTATTCAGGTTCAGAAAACTATAAAGAAGGAGATGGGGAAATCAATAGATGATATATTTACAACTTTTGTTGAGAAACCCCTTGCAACAGCATCAGTAAGCTCCTTCAAAAACATTTCATTACCTTTATTACCCTTCTCCTGACTACATTATCATCCTAAGAATGATAACCTGATGTTTCATAAATAATTAATTTATATACAGATAGCACAGGTTCATCGCGCAACACTACGTGATGGGAAAGAGGTGGTTGTTAAAGTTCAACATGAAGGCATCAAGACAATAATCTTGGAGGTTGGTTATTCATTCTCTAGCCATGGGCATTTTAGTCTTTTACATAAAAGTACCAAACTTTGAACTTTCTATCACCTATAATTTTTTTTAACAGGATTTGAAAAATGCAAAGTCAGTAGTAGAGTGGATAGTTTGGGCAGAACCAAAGTTTAATTTCAACCCTGTTATAGATGAATGGTGTAAAGAAGCACCCAAGGAACTAGACTTCAACAGGGAAGCTGGTGTGATAATTTATAAAATCAAATATTTACTTATGTTCATAACTTCATACGTGTTTATGTTTTCTTGATGATTGATTTGTTATGTTTCTAGAAAATACTAGAAAAGTCTCCAGTAATCTTTGCTGTAAAAAAGATTGTTTGGACAAAAGACCTGAGCACCGTGTTAAAGTGCTGATGCCTGAAGTTATTCATGTATACTCTTTATTAATATTTCTTGCATTTACCTCATTCTTGTATACCTTTCCCTCGGTTGTTGTTCTTATATAACTTTTGGTGTACTTACTCACAGTCAACTGAGCGAGTCCTCATTCTAGAGTACATGGACGGCGTTCGCCTGAACGATTCCCCTTCACTAGATAAACTTGGTGTTGACAAGAAAAACATTGTTGAAGAAATTACACGTGCGTATGCACATCAAATCTTTATTGATGGATTCTTCAATGCTGATCCGCATCCCGGTAATTTCTTCATCTTTGATATTTTATTAAACATTTTGTTTTTTTCGCATCCAGCATGCAATTTTGGTGGGTTTTTTTTACAGGTAATTTTCTTGTAACCAAGTCAAGTCCACATCATCCGATTTTACTCGATTTTGGATTTACAAAATTGCTTTCTAGCTCCATGAAACATGCTGTAGCAAAAATGTTTCTAGCATCAGCTGAGGTTTGTACATTCCTTTCTTAAATAGGGAGTTGTGATCTTAATGGTTAAGCACTTAATTTGGAAAACTATATATGCTTCTTTCTTTGACTTAATCCAGACAAAATAATTTAATAGGTTAAACTGAAAATATGTGGGTTTAACGTTTAATGTATTTACACACCAACCCTTTACTTATTTTCCCTTCGTTTTCCTCCCACTTGAACATTGTAAAAATCAATGAGTATTGTGAAAACTATTTGTTAGAATGTAAGGCTAAAATGGTCATTTAGTCTCATTCTGACAGTTTATTTATTCTAAAAAATAAACAGATCTTATATCGTTATACATTCAACCACTTTACCCGTATAAAGTATGGGTATTAAGTATTAACAAATACTTGTTTATGTCGGGTTCATTTTCATCTTTGATGATAAATGATTCACATGGTAATTTTAAGGCTTTAGCTATTTTCCATGTCTGTGTATTTTATCCTTTTTGGAGAAACTAATGAAGCTATCTCCAGTTTGATACTTTTACAGGTGAAATTATATTGTTCTTGCGGGTGCTTAATTTGCTTGCAGGTGTCTCACAAATCCTTCAATACTTTACCTTATTATGATACAATAATTAAAAATTGCATTATTTTACATAGCTTTACTTTTCAGGGCTTTCTGCCGCATTGAATGTTAGTGTTAGCTACTATAGAATCATTAGACCCTTTGCTGAATCTGCTCTTGACTGGTTTGTTTTTTACTTTTTTTTTTTAACTATAAGTAATAAATTCAGTTTCTTTTGTCTCATTCTCTTATTGGGCAACTTGTTTTCAGTGACCCAAATGAGAAAAAGGTAGATAAAGCGGAATGGATATGTGACACCCCTGTTAATTCTCAAGTAGAAAAGAAACTTAGGGCTTTATTAGTTAAACTCGGGAACGCGGATAAAATACTTGGAATTCAGGTATATATGTTTGTCTCTTTGTTATATATGTATGTATGTATGTATGCATGCATTGAATATTAATATTTGACTGATACTCTGATTGTTAGTTATTTTCTGTTAGGTTTGTGCCTACAAAGATGGGGAAGTGATAATTGATACAGCTGCTGGGGTACTTGGAAATTATGATCCTTCTCCTGTTCATCCCGATACATTATTCCCTGTTTTCTCTGTAACAAAGGGAGTTACAGCTGGAATGTTACACTGGCTTGTAGATAAAGGGTATATTGTGTTATTTCTTGATTATGTTGATCATGGATTTCTATTTCTTTTTTTGGTATTTCTAATTCTATTATTACATGGAAGCAGTAAAGTGGGACTTGAGGATAATGTTGCAGAGATCTGGCCAGATTTCAGTTCAAACAGAAAAGAATCAATAAAGGTTCATCATGTCCTGAATCATACATCTGGAATGCAAAATGCTCTGGCCAGCCTTGTGCAAGATAATCCAATGGTGTTATGCAATTGGGATGAATGCTTGAAACGCATTGCCATGGCAGAAGCAGAATCAGAACCTGGTCAAGATCAGCAATATCATTACCTATCTTATGGTTGGCTTTGTGGTGGCATCATTGAGGTTGTATCACATATATTCATTCGATTCACCTTCTTCTTCTTCTTCATTGTCTTCATCTTCAGTGATTCAATTCTCTCCCTTGAATCTACAGCATGCATCTAATAAAAAGTTTCAAGATATCCTTCAAGAAGCTTTCATTAATCCGCTCAACATTCAAGGCGAACTTTACATCGGAATCCCTCCAGGCATGAATTCAATCCATTTCCCCACTTTTCTGTAAACCCTAGTTCATATCCTTTCTTATAATGATGGTAAATAATCAGGTGTGGAATCGCGACTTGCGACACTAACCCTAGATACAAACGATCTGAATAGATTTGCAGAAATCGATAGCCCTACCTCGATCTCAAGCCCGACCTCTCTCTCTAGTTCCAGTTCTTCCTCCATATTCCAGCTCGATGTTCTCTCCGGTTTAGTTCCGTTATTCAATACGCTCAATGTCCGCCGTGCGATATTACCTGCCGCCAACGGCCACTGCTCAGCTCGTGCACTCGCCCGCTACTACGCCGCCCTTGTCGATGGCGGTGTTGTCCCACCGCCTCATTCCTCCTCATCGCAACCACCATTAGGAATCCACCCTCAGCTTCCCGGATCTATTTCCATAGCAATCACCGATAAAAAGAAAGGTAGAAAAAAGAAAAAGTCAAAGAAGGAACCAAAGTGTTCCGGTTCCAGTTGTACGATAAATCCTGAAAACCC